TCAAGCAATGTTCTAGACCTATTGTGAGCCTCCCGGCACTATAACAAACAAATATATATTATATTGGTGATCAAGCAATCAAATAATAAAATTAAGCATGCAAGATTAATTAAAAATCGCAGGAATTCAACTAAGCCACATGTCTCGAATTAAAAAATAAATAATAAAGGATTTCATCTTCATCCAATACACGAGAAGAATTAGCCTAGCATTATGTTGGAATTAAACACAGAAAAGAGAAAAGACATCATCGAGAATCGGCAGAATGTGGCTAATTTTCAAATTTCATGTTGCGCTATCTCTTTCCCTTGAGTCCCTGTTTGTGTGTATTCTTGTAGCCGCCAATCTCCCTTTTTTCCCTTAAATGCTGCCACCAATGTGGATATAAGTATAATATAATTCGAACCGAGCTTTATGTACACCGCTAGATGTACATGCCCCTCACAAGAGGGGTCCTAGGTCGAAATAAAGGCAAAAAAAAAAAAAGAAGAAGAAGAAGGCAAGCCCTGCCATTTGTGAGGACAATGTAGAGATGACAATTTGAACAGTTAAAATCGAAAATCGCGATTACCTGAACCGAACGGGGGGGGGAAAAACCAAACCGATGATGCAATAGGGCGGATATGGTATTTGATTTTAATGAACCGATTCGAGGCGGAGCGGTGTGGGTATGGTATTTACACTGTCACCCCAATCCGAACCGATTACCCATTAAATTTATTTTTTTCCCATCTAAATAGTAATCCAATACAAAACATGTATAAAAAAAATATATCTAATTTTGAAAACTCCACAGGGGCCTTTTTTCTTCCTTTTTGAAATCACACATGATGATTATCAACTCACTCGCTTTTGAAGCAAACTCAATCAACAATTTCAGTTTCAAAAAACTTATTCTCTTATGGTAAATTTGATTATTTGATTAGTTTTAGGCATTTGGATTGACTTGAAATTAAGTGTACATAATCTTTGCCTTTCTTGATTTTGTCATCGGTAACCTAGACATGACCCTTGGTACCATAAACAGTCGCCTTCTTACAGATGTACCATCTATCTGCCCTTTGTACAATTTTGATCTGGTAAGTGATCAACAACGCAAATTGTTCGAAGTGCTCTAATATAATTCACTCAACTATTAGTTGATAATCATCATGTGTGACTTTTTTTCATAAATTATTTTTTTTCAATTTGACAACTAGACCTATGAAAAATAATTTATTTTTATGGTTATTAACCGTCCCGAACTGAACCGAAACCGACTTACGTGGTTATGGTGCGGTTATGATATGGCAAGAAAATTGGCGATTCGGTGATAATTTTGGCTGAACTGTTGCCAACCCTAGGACAATATCATCCGGACTTGTACAAATGGAGAAACCCATATCATTCGGCCCAATGTTTGACTCGTTTCCGCCTGTCTTTCTGTGCGTAATCTTGCTGCCTCCCAATGTATGTGTGTATAATTCAGCAGCACAAATCTCCCCCACCAGGCTGCCTTTATCAATGTATCTCCCATTTTCTTTTCTTTTAAGCCTCCCAATTTGACTCCACAACAGGTTCCCGCTGCAATTCTCTAAAATAAATACCAGACAGCCGTTTGATTTGACTCCGACGAACTCAAATTCAGCCCCCAAGCTGCCGTTTTTCACCCTCCAATGCGTGTGGAATATATCTAGTGGCACCCCTATTTTTCTCCTCTTCCAGCCGTTTTTTTTTTTTTTTTGTAATCTTTCTGTTGTCTGCTCCAAAGGCAGCTGTTTCTATATATATTTATATCAATCCAGCAGCGCCTTTGTTTTTGTGGGATTAGGAGTCCCAAGTGGCAGAAATTCCAATTGTTCTCTCCTTCTCTGCCGCCAGCCACTTGCATATACATGTCAAATAAAATCCCAGCATGCTAGCAATTGTATGTGTCTCTCTATTCCTTCTCCCAGGCTGCCCTTTTATCTATAATTATGAGGCCCAATTAAACGTGGTGAAATTAATTGGACCAGCTCACTTTCATGTGTAAAATAGGATTCCAATTGGTTAATGAATTTGGTGTGGAATATATCTAGTGGCCCCCCTATTTTTCTCCTCTTCCAGCCGTTTTTTTTTTTTTTTTGTAATCTTTCTGTTGTCTGCTCCAAAGGCAGCTGTTTCTATATATATTTATATCAATCCAGCAGCGCCTTTGTTTTTGTGGGATTAGGAGTCCCAAGTGGCAGAAATTCCAATTGTTCTCTCCTTCTCTGCCGCCAGCCACTTGCATATACATGTCAAATAAAATCCCAGCATGCTAGCAATTGTATGTGTCTCTCTATTCCTTCTCCCAGGCTGCCCTTTTATCTATAATTATGAGGCCCAATTAAACGTGGTGAAATTAATTGGACCAGCTCACTTTCATGTGTAAAATAGGATTCCAATTGGTTAATGAATTTGAATCCAAATTTAAGTCCAAAACTTCGGCCCGTTTAATTTATTATTTTCCTCAAGTCCTCCACTTTCAAAGTATGAAATTTGATTTCCAAACTCTCCATCAAATAGCCAATTAATCCTTCATCCTTTTCCAAATAGTCCATCACTAAAAACACAAAGAAAATTAATTTAAGTTAAATAAAAATTAATAATTTGATGATGTAAAAGTTTAGAAATATGACTTAAATAAGTACATAACTTGCACTTATCACATACCATTACCCTTGCCTTTATCTGAAAAATTATCTCAAATGTGATCAACTTTAGACTCAACTCTGAATTTGAGAATTCTATTCTTTAAGGCGTTTATTAGAAAATCAATAGTGAGCTCATCCCTTCTATATTCTAGAGCAAGTCTCTATGCCAATCACTAATGGAGTTTAATAGGACTACAATCAACTGATCTTTATAAAAATTTCATCAAAGTTGGCTAAATTTTGGGTTAGCTTGGTAAATCTATTCAAATTTTCTTCCAAGTCAACAGAGAAATTCATTTTAAAAGAAAATAATAGTTTCAACAAATAGCACTTATTTGGAAATGTCTTAATTACATATTTGGCCTCGAGTTTAGTCCATGATAAACAAGTTTGATTAGGGAGATACACAAGTATTTGAGAACCAAATAAAAAATTAAGATCAATAGGTGATCACAGTAATACACTAAGTAAAACAAATTGCAAATAGGTACTCAAGATTTCACTTAATCAAGTTTTATGCTCTAATCAGAGGACATGCAACAAGAATATCGAAGAAAACTCAACAACAGAGATCACAATTTCTAAGTTTCAAAGTTTTCTCATTCAAGATTCTCTAGATCATACCCGTACTGGATTTATCTTAGATTCCTATGGCCCACAGGAGTCTTTGGGCAAAGATTCGTTTCCTAGGGATTTGGTTTATGGTAAACCAACGAAAATAACATAGGTAACCTAATTTCATATATTAAAATTTATAAAAAAATTTAAAAATACCACAAAACAAGTTTATAGAACTCAATTTCTTTTTTAGATTCTTTCAAACACGATCCTTAATTTTTGAGATCCATTACATATCTCCAACTCTCTTTGAAGATCAGGTATTGTGACTTGCAAATCTAGACTCAAGTATCACTGAAATTGTTAGAAACATAAAATGTAAGCGATCAAATTCAAACCCTTATAGTACAGAATTAAAGCTTTGTAGAGATCAAAAGAAAGAACTCAAGACTTGTTTCGATCGAAGCCCAGAGATTCGGTAATCGCTTCTAACACGTAATCCCTTGTTAATCATTCATTCAAAATGATTAATGCTCGATTGGACCGTAATGGACAAAACAAAAACCAAGTTTACACAGTAGTTCAATGATACAAAGATCAAGCCATAAATAGATTTATTCTTTTCAGAAACTACAGATCAAAACACAAGTCCACCAAGAACCCACACATATCACTAATCTGATCTATACAATACAAGAACACTCAAGTCCTTAACATTTTTTACTTAGAAAACACTAGAATTAGAAGATGATTAGAAGACATCCGTCTCAAATAAGGTTTTCAAGAACGGAAGAAACCCCAACTGAAGGGTTGAATATTCTCTCAAACCAAAGCCACATGAATTGAATAAATGAAACAGTATAAGACAAGTGAAGGGTTTTAACCCTTGGAACCATCCAAAAAGCAATCAAACGACCACCATCATGTCAAATGTCAAGATCCAATTAATCCCTTCCACTAACAAAGTTGCCATTTAGTAAAACAAGTTTTTGGCCAATTTGGTAGCGCGCACACATCACAAGTGCACAATTACTCAACATCATGAAATACTAATCAATCTTTAGATTCTTAAAATGAAATGTGAACTCCTCCTGGAATTCGAAATAACACTGTATTTGTTTGATCACTGACTACTCTCGATGAAATGAAATATAGAAGAATATATGACTTGTGATAAATTTTTTATATTGATGGAATTTGGACATATTTTATCTTGCTGAATATTTTCCCATATTACCGACTATGTTCCCTCCAACTTACATTCGATGGAGCATTGTGCCATGGGCTGTCAGGTAACAATTAGTAATCATTAGGGCGTTTTGATTTATTTTTAAATTTTCAGTTTCGAAGTATTAGATTCTTGTCCATTAAAGTTTGTGTTTATTAGATTTTTTGTCTCTATTAATGTTTTTTTGGAAAATTTCTCATGTGGTATATAAAGGTACTGAAGTTCAGCTAGAAATTTTATGAGTTGTTTCTCCAATGTCATGAATGTAATAAGATGTTAAAAGTGTCCGACACACAGGAGTAACTCTCTGGGTTTCTTTGAAATTTCTGGCCTAATGCGATTTTCATTAGCAATATTGTTTGTATATCATTATGTACAGATTGATGATGTGAATTATGTTAATGGACTTCCTTTTCTTTCTTTTCTCTCTCTCTCTCTCTTCCTCATCATCAGACTAGCATTATTGGGTGAACCGTGCTGGATGTCGTCCAGGGTACCAAATTGCGCCCCCTTCAATAGGGAGGCAATTGGCGCGTTCCTAAAAACAATCTGCAAATATGTTATGGTTTATGAGCTTTAAAGTTTCCATTCATATAAGAAATTGCTTGATTTTTTTATTCGTTATATACCTTATTTTGTATGATATCTATAAATCCCTGTAACTGGGATTTCTGAACTGACATATAAACTAAGCTAATTGCGTTACCTTTCCTATTCACTTCAAGATCTAATGGCCTACAGCTAGAAGGATCTCCCTGGATGTGGAAGAACTCTCACCATCATCATTCATCCCACAACTGATGTTAATCACTGTCGCTCGGTTCGAGTTTCCTCTCAGGCTTCGAGTTCTGAAGGAGAGGAAGAACATCGTACTCGTTTCTTATCATCTTTTCTCCTCCGTGCAGTGTTGAATGGCTATATCGGAGCAAGATTTGCAAAACCTCCTTCATAGTTGGCCTATTCGATGGAAGTTTGCTCGTGCAGATAATACCGAGTTTGAATACACTGCTTATTTCTTCCAAATATTGTGGTTCCTTAATATCCTCATCCATGACATCAACTACATGTTTACCTTCCTGAATGTGATGCCACGCCCATTCTGCCAGAGACGAGCTCTCGTCTCCATCACGAGCTTCCCTACCGGTGACTAGTTCCAAAAGGATGACTCCAAAGCTATATACATCAACCTTCTCATTCACTCTTCTAGTCTGTGCATACTCTGAAAATTTGAAGTAATGTAAATAAAATTGTGGAGAATAAAGAATTTCAAAGACATTATATGACAAGAGTCGAGAGTATGTCACATACCTGGAGCTATATAACCAAACGAGCCCGCTACAGTGGACATCATGTCAGGTTCTCCATTCTTGATCAACATTCTTGCTAGGCCAAAATCTGCAATCTTTGCATTGAACTCAGAATCCAACAGGATATTGCTAGATTTTACATCGCGATGGATAATGGAAGGTGAACAATCGTGGTGCATATAGGAGAGCCCTTGAGCAGCATCAATTGCAATTTGCAGCCTCTTAGGCCAGTCTAAAACCACATTATGAATAGAACCCGATATTGTGGATGGTCGATTCTTGCCATGAAGCCATCTGTCGAGACTACCATTTTCCAGATACTCGTATACAAGCAGCTTTGAATTATGACTTGAAATGCAACAAAGAAGTTTCACTATGTTGGAGTGCCTTATGGTGCCAAGAATTTGAACTTCTGATAGAAATTCCTTTTCGAGTTTCAGTTCCAACTTCACATTGTTCCAAATCCTCTTAACAGCAACATATGCACCGGAACGATTTATTGGAATCCGGAAAACTGTTCCCGATCCTCCTCTTCCAATTATGTTGTTCTCTATTAAACCAGATGAAATGGTTGATTCTGTGAAATTCAATCTCTGGAATGAAGTAACTTTCCACGGCGACTCCAAATCGTGCTTCCTCCTCCTGTTAGTTCTAACAACTAAGATTGTGTATAAGAAAACAACTAAAAATGCAACTGCTGAAATACTTGAGACTGTAGCAATTAAGTGGGATGGAAGTTTGTTCGATTTTCTGGCAAGTCCAGCCTGACAACTGCTGAGCCCTAATGCTGGATTACCTGCGCAGAGTCTTGGATTATTCTGAAAACTGCTATTGAAAGCTGCATTTTCAAATTCACTAGGGATTCTCCCAGAGAGCTGATTAGAAGAGAGATTGAGTGAAGGTAGCCTCAAACGGCCTATTTCAGGTGGGATTGGACCAGAAAATTTGTTGGCTGACAAATCCAGATACAAGAGTGCAGGCAAAAACCCGATCCCTGCAGGAATTTCGCCAGATAATTGGTTTCGACTGAGATTCAAAGTAGTTAAAGATTTCCACGAGATTATAGTCGATGGAAGGTTTGCAGAAAGTCTATTTCCATCCAGCAAAATAGTTGACAGCAATCGAAGAACAGTCAATTCTTGAGGAATGTTACCAGCAAGCAAGTTGTTACTTGCCTTAAACACGTTCAAGTTCTCCCAAGAAGATATCCCGGCTGGAATTTCACCCGAAAACTGGTTGTTATGCATCTCGAGCAGAGACAAGTTTGGCCCTACTTTATCCGGGAGCTGACCTGTAAACAAGTTATCGCTTATCATCAGTGTAGTTAAGTTCAATGATGTCCACAATCCTCCTGGAATATTACCAGAAAACTGGTTTCGATAAGCCCGAACAACCTTCAAACTGTCACAATCCCCTAGAGATTCTGGCAATTCACCTGTCAAATTGTTGTCGAAGACAGCCACACCTATTATTGCCTTATTAGCACACAAATTCTTTGGTAACGTCCCAACAAAATGGTTAGATGCAACTTCGAATGTGTTCAGGGTTGAGTATAACCCAAAATCAGGTGGCAATTCACCTGATAGACTATTGCTGAATATCCTAATATTTATCAGAGATGGCAATCTACCGATACCTACTGGAACTACGCCAGATAATTGATTGAAAGACAAACCCAAACCAGTAAGTTTTGTCAGCTTTTCAAAATCATCTGGTATTATTCCCGTCAAGTTATTTTGAGAAAGATCGATTACCTCCAGATTCAAGGCCTCGACAGTCTGAGGAATTGATCCCGACAGCCTGTTTTTGAAAAGATACACAATAGTCAAGTTTTTTAGCAGGAACAGAGAATCTGGGATGCTGCCACTCAAACCATTTTCTGATAAGTCCAGGAATTCTAAAGCTGACATATTCCCAACACTTCCAGGGATTTCTCCTATCAAATTTGTTATATACATCCAAAGATTTCTCAATTTCTTCAGCTTTGTGAAACTTGATGGTATTGCTTGTGGCAAAAAAGGGTTGAAATTCAAATTCAATTCTTCAAGATTTGACAGATTGCCAATTTCTGGCGGAATAGAACCGTTGAACAAGTTGGACGGAAGCTGAAGACTTTTGAGCTCCGGGAAGCTCCCAATGGATGCAGGGATATCACCAGAGAAATTGTTTCCACTCAAGTTAAGAACCTGAAGCGAGGGCGAAAGCCGGTTAATGTCAGCAGGAATTCTTCCTACAAGTTGGTTTATTTGAAGGTCTAAATATTCGAGATTAGAACAGTTATAAAGAACTGTAGGGAAGGGTCCAGGGATGAAATTCTCATGAAGATCAATATAGGATAGATTTTTAAGGTCACATATAAATGTTGGGATCGTTTCACTGATGTTGTTATTGATGATCTCGAGTTTCGTCACCCGACCATCGGTGCACGTGACCTCAGGCCACGTGCAGTGGTCGGAAGACGGAATCCAGTGATTCATGTTGGTTAAACTGGACCAGTAGTCTTTGAGTTGAAGAAGAATGGTTTTTTCTTGAGCTGTAACATTTTGTGCATTGCCATGAAAAAAGGTTAAGGTGAAGAAGAAAAGAATGGTGAAGAAATGGAGCAATGGAACAGTAGTTTTCAGCATTTCGAGGTGGGTTTTTCAGTTACTTTCCTGTTGATCTGATGGTGGCATTTAGCAGAGATTACAATGTTGGGAAATGGAGAAGCAGGTGATACCAAGACTCTAATGTGAAAACTGAAACAGGGAGGAAAGTGTGATGAGATACCAATTGATTTTAATAATGTATATTCAAAATGTGCCGAATATATATATACAGATAATGAGTCCCTTTCAATTAGTGCAGTTTTTTTCCACAAACTAATGAAATTACAATTAAAACCCTGTTATCACTAAAATTTACTAAAAATTGCGTAGAATTTTCCAATGCAATTTGTAATATAATTTTGATGTCAAAGTGTTACTGAATAGTTAGTCCCGGTTTGTACTCCATTAAAATGAGATTTTGGGGGTAGCCTCGGTTTCACTTGGCTAAAAATTAAATTTTTAGTAATTGAGAATGTGATCAAAGTTATAGATTCCCAAAAATATACGATTGAAAAAAAATTAAAAATTCGATAACAAAGTTTAGATTTATCCCCCATCTGGTCGCGCTTCTTTGTGAATTTTTAGCTTATTTTCGATCGTTATACATTGTAACAATGAAGCAGCTATAATTGTTGAAAAAAAGGCAACTTTCATAACTTTTTACAAATTGAATTACTCGAAATGCCCTGTCAAAAAAATTTAAATAAAAATTGAAGAAAAACTAAAGATGGCATTTCCATAATTCAAATACAAAAAAATTGGTAGGGATTTGGTTACTTGATTTTTTGATCGTTATAGATAAAGTAGGTCCTATATGTAAGATAAGAATTCAAAAATGATGACTGAAATAGTGAAATAACAATCAAAAAATTGATTTTAATTGACTTAAAATATATACCAAACAAACTCTTAAAAATGGTAACTCTTAAAAAAATTTTACGGGGTTTATTGTTGAAACATCAGTGTCAATAGTCAATAAGAAAAAATAAAATCCAAGACCGTTGACTATGAAACTTTTATTCAAACTTGTATTTCCAGCCGGGCAGTGCTGGACTGACCGGTCCAAGAACATTTAGGCCCTGTTCTCTTTACCGTTTTCGGGTCGTTTTCTGTTTTCGATTTTTCAAAACGGTGAAAATGTGTTCTCTTTCCCGTTTTCGAAAACGAATTTTCGAAAACGAAAAAAAATTTGTGAAGAAAACACAAAACGACTTTTTTGTCGTTTTGGGCGTTTTCAGTGTAAAGCTTGAAAAAATTGAAAACGCGGGAAACACTTTTTTTTTACGCATTTTCAACAATTTCAAAACAAACACTCAAAACACAAAACTCAAAATGAATTCAAAACTCAAAACACAAAACTGAAACACAAAGAGAACACCCCCTTATTATTTTCAGCCACCAATCAATCAATTAATTGACTTTACCTTTTCTTTCTCGTAACCAGGCTTTTAAAAATTTTAGATTTTTTTTTAATTCTTTTTATATTTATTTATTAATCATTTTATTTTGATTTCTTCCATTTCTTTAGGGAGATTACGCATGCGAGTTTAAAATTTTAAGCATGACGAAACTAACATTAAGGCTATGCTTAAGCATGACGAAACTAACATTAAGGCTATGCTTAAGCATGACGAAACTAACATTAAGGCTATGCTTAAGCATGACGAAACTAACATTAAGGCTATGCTTAAGCATGACGAAACTAACATTAAGGCTATGCTTAAGCATGACGAAACTAACATTAAGGCTATGTTTGAGCCACGTTTTTTCAAAAAATATATATTTTTAAACAGTGATTTGACATCATTTCAACTACACGATTTTTAATAAAATAATATTACACGCAAATTCAAAATTTTTCTTTATTTTTTAATCACTCACATCAATACACTATTCAAAAATACATTCTAAAAAAATAATGTCGCTCAAACAAAGGCTAAAAATAAAAAATTTAAATAATAGAAATATATTTAGACCTTTATATTAAACTTTCAATTTTATTTTATTTAATTATTTGATTCGGATCACCAAATCATTGTCCCAATACTAACTTTATCCATAAAGTACAAACAAAAACTTATCAAGCGTGGAATAAAATTAAAAGAAAGACTCATTCAAAGTGGACGACTTTGAAAAATCTTTGGAAGAAGAGCCGTATGAATTCTGCCAATTAGATGGACGACTTTGAAAATTCTCACTTCCTCGAACGATCGTTCTCAACTACCTCGCTCCATTTATATAGACTGATTTTATTTTTCACACAG